TAATATTTTGGGGTCCCCTGATGCACAGAAGTGCAGCACAGGATGCACTGTACAACGGGCTGTGTGCACTGAGGGAGGTTTCCGTTGTCTCCCAAAGAAGGGAGAACAAACTTGATGGATCAGTGGGAAATCCAAGGGTCAGAAAAATCAATGCATTTTTCCTGTCTGTTTAGAAAAATCCCAGGGTAAGAGATAGAACAAACAAGAGCCCCTGCTTAGTTCTGTGCAACCCATGAATCACTGGGGCTGTGGGGCAGCAAAATAGAGGAGTGTTTAGCCTGAGGTCTTAATTGATTTTCCGGTATTTATAGCTCTTAAATGTTATTGCTTGCTCTATTAGATTTGTAAATCTGCCTGCCTTAACTCTGAGGATTTTCACACACCATTCAGAATCTGAGCATACGCACTGCATTCTCCATATCAGAGGGCTACATGAATGCTAGCAGCTCCTGATTCTGGTCTCATCACAGACAGGTGACGCGCACCCTCTGATCTTCATTCTCCCTTGCGTAGGAGCTCTGCTCAGCACAGGGTGTAGGATCTTTTAGGAAAAGACTGCACCGACTGTCAATGACTGTGGCAATTACTACTCTGCTAAGGGGCGTAATGGAGAGGGGGGGCAGTTACAGCTCTCTGTGAACCACTCCAGACCCAACATCAGTCAGAGTAACGTAAGGGTTACACCAACTTAGGTCAGTGGAGAATAAGTGCAGAAGGGCTTTACTATGCTAGATTTCTGCCTCACAGGCTTTCCGCTTATGCTTTGATGAGGAGGGGCAGCTGGCATATGAGCTGCCTTTGCCAGCACAGCTTTCCTTTGCAAGAGGGGAATTCTCCACTCATCATTTGTAACCAGAGCTGCCCCCTCGGCACTGCTCAGGCTGTTAGTGATCCTTTAAGAATGGGTCTGATTCTTTAAGAATGGGTCAAGTAAAGCCATCCCAAGGTGGGACACTGATTTACACAGTGCAAAGCTGTACTCCCATTATTTTCAATGGAGTTTCTCCATAGTTTCATAGTTGGTAGGGTCAGAAGGGACCTGAGCAGATCATCAAGTCTGATCCCCTGGCACGGGCAGGAAAGGATGCTGGGGTGAAATGACCCCAGCTAGGTGTCCATCTAGCCTCCTTTTAAAGACCCCCAGGGTAGGAGCGAGCACCACTTCCTTTGGAAGTTGGTTCAAGATCCTAGCCACCTTGACTGTGAAGTAGTGCTTCCTGATATCCAGCCTGAATCTATTCTCGGTCAACTTACGGCCGTTATACCTCATTACTCCCGGTAGTGCTCAGGGGAACAGAAACTCTCCCATTGCCTGCTGGTCCCCCTTGGCCAGTTTGTAGATGGCCACCAGATCCCCTCTCAGCCTTCTCTTGTGGAGGCTGAACAGGTTCAGGTCCCATAGCCTCTGCTCACAGGGCCTGCCCTGCTGGCCCCTGATCATGCGGGTGGCCCTCCTCTGGACCCTCTCAGTGCTGTCCACATCCCTCCTGAAGTGCGGTGCCCAGAACTGGATGCAGTACTCCAACTGAGGCCTGACCAGTGTCGCGTAGAGGAGGAGGATCACCTCCTTGGACCTGCTCATGATGCATCTCTGGATGCATGACAAGGTATGGTTAGCCTTCCTGACCACGTCCCCACATTGGCGGCCCATGTTCATTTTGGAATCCATAATGACACCAAGATCCTTTTCTGCCTCTGTGCTGACGAGAAGGGAGTTCCCCAGCCTGTATGTATGCTGCTACTTCTTTCTCCCCAGGTGCAGTACCCTGCACTTCTCAGTATTGAAGCCCATCCTGTTCTCATCTGCCCACCCCTGTAACCTGTCTAGATCTAGCTGCAGCCTGTCTCTCTCCTCCAGTGTGACTACTTCTCCCCACATCTTAGTGTCATCCATGAATTTGAACAAGGTGCTTTTCACCCCCTTGTCCAAATCGCTGATGAAGATGTTGAACAGTGCAAGCCCGAGGAACGAGCCCTGGGGGACCCCACTGCCCACATCCCTCCAGGTTGAAAAAGACCCGTCCACCACCACTCCCTGGGTGCGGCCCTCCAGCCAATTTGCATCCCATCTGACTATGTAGCCATCGACACCACAGTTGCCTAATTACTTAATGAGAATGGGGTGAGAAACAGTGTTGAAGGCCTTCCTAAAGTCCAGAAAGACTATGTCCACCATGACACCTGCGTCCAAGGATTTTATGACCTGGTCATAGAAGGCCACCAGGTTGGTCTGACAGGACCTGCCTTGAATAAACCCATGTTGGTTGCCACTAAACATGATCTCCCCTGCTGGTCCCTCGCAGATATGCTCCTGGATAATTTTCTCTTACCCAGGACTGAGGTAAGACTAATGGGCCTGTAGTTTCCTGGGTCCTCCTTCCTCCCTTTTTTGAAAATGGGGACCACGTTGGTCCTTTTCCAGTCCTCCGGCACCTCGCCAGAGCACCATGAGTGCAACAATCAAGTAAAGTCCTTCTGATTCCTCAGTGTAGCTTTTAACCCAAGAGACTGTGGGAAAAGATGGAGGTTGGTGCTCAGGGGTTTTCAGGTACTTGCTGTTTAAGATGTTCTGACACACATATGCACATGGAAGCACAACCGGATATCTTTGCACCCTGGGCTGTGGCAACACACAGGGCAGCACTGGCTGCTGAGCTGCAGGCAGCAGCATTGCAACCAGCTGCAGCAACAGCTATTTTTGTATCTCTGCCTCCCTTAAGGATGGTGCTCGGGGCTCCTGTCCCAGTCACCTCACCTAATTTATACTACTGCTACTGTATCCATGGGCAGGGCAAAGGAATGAACAGTTAAGAGGAGAATGATGAAACCTGGGGAATTTTCAGTGCTGGTGGAAGCTGCAGTGAAGACATGGCTTAGATGGGCTCAGGTGTTTTATCATCAACCTACATAGCCCTGCCATACAGAGGGTGAGACGATGGTGGAGAAGCTTAAGCCCTGTCAGTGCCTTCAGTCTACATACTGGTAGAGAGCAATGGACGGCCTCAGTCCAACAAAGACCAGGCTTCAAGAGCAAAGTCAAGGATCCCCTTGCTAGCTACGGGTGGGTTCAGAAAGGTCTCTTGATTGCCTGTAGAAAGTAAAACTACTGAGTTCATGTTTTATGCTGAAGTGCCCAACAAGAAAAACTAAGCAGATTAAAAGGGCAGAGGTTCAAGTATCTTACTCAGTGCTGTTCACACCGGGAAATATACTCAGCAAAGCATCTACAGGCAACTCTGAGTTTCGATGCAATAATCAATCTTCATTTTTGTACAGGAATTTAATTTTGGGTCCCGAGTGGCTTCCAATTATGATTTAATAAGCTATAATTTAATTAAAATGCTATCCACTTGGAACGAATATGAAAGGAGATTAACATGAGCAAAAATTAATGTAACATTTAAAATTCATCTTTTATCCCTATGGGTTTTGTTAATGCTTTAATAGGTAGATCAAAAGTTTATAATAATCTAGCTACAGTCACCTTAGAGATTTTTGTCTGAATTGCCCCAAAATAATAAAATGTTACACTGCCCTTAATGTTGCATTTCCCATTTTGCCAGTTGGATAGATCTGGGTGGAAATCAATAAGAGTTTGCTTTCATAGGCTTGTAAAAACCATTTCCCTCCCACAGTTAATCCATGTGCTTCTTGCAACCACTGAGTTTCAGGTTCAAAAGGCAAAACTCACCCCAGATCACCCAGTTCCATTTGACTGCACATTAGAAATATCTAAGACTGCAAATTTGCCTTCCTCATTCTGCAGCTATAAAACCAGCCGCCGGGCTTGTTTTAATCCAGGAGCAAACATGTTCAAAATGTTTGTGATCATTAGCAAATGTTTCAAACAAATCCACTTTGACTAGAGTTTGCATAGAGCTCTGAAATTGGGTGAGTCTCTCCCTCCACTCACCCCAGTTTTAGCTCCCAGTGTACCAAGTTTTGCTTGGTATGGAGGACATGTCTGTGTGGGGAACTCCTCAATGCAAAAGGTAATAATTATGGACATGCTCTGGGAATCCAAATATCATGAATTGATATTTGGATCTGAAGGCTCCAAGCAAGACCAAGGTCCCATTTGTATAAGCACTGTACATATACATAGCCAGAGACACTCTCTGCCCCAGAGAGTCTCAGGAGACAGACAGACAGACAACTTGTGGGAGGGGAAGCAGGTGCACAGAGAAGCAACCTGACTCACTAAATATCACACAGTAGGCCAGTAGCTGATTTGGGCATAGCATTTCAGTTTCTTGAGTTCTGACTCAGGGCTCTCTCACCTGCCCATGCTTGACTTTAACATGCATGGGATTTTCCCAGGCCCATCTTGTTACAGCTATGTTCCACCTTGGGAGCATCTAAACTTATGGCCATGCAGGCATTCAATATGCAGAGCCGAAAAATTTCACAGCATTTTGCTCCACAGCATGTTTGCCCAATATAGGCTGTCTGTTTTACAGTCACGGTCAGTATTGGCTGCATTTAAACAACTTTATAGTTGGTTTCCATTACTGACCACATGCTGCTTTTGGCAGCAGTTTAATGATATACAATGCATTTAGTATGTGAATGTAAGATAAGGGACTTTTTCACCATGCGGGGGCGGTGGGGGGGGGTGGAGAGGAGAAAACCTCTTGTATACGGTACAGATATGCACATCTGCATAGTAATATAAACTCCTGGGATCTGGAGTTTGATCTCAGTTACTTCACTGCCATCAGATTTATGGTTATGTAGAGGAGAATCTGGCTTGGGGAGTCAAGTGAGCTCTTGGGGAAACTAGAAATGACACTGGGAAATGAAGGGTAAAATAGTCTTTAGAAAGGGAGGGAACAGGCTCCCTTTGTCCTTCTGCACTCTGCCAGGTCCTGGTATGGTCTGCTTCTGAGCTACTAACTGGGCCAGGGTCCTTAGGTGAGCAAATCCTTCCATCTCCAAGACCACAGCCAGAGCCTGCTGCCATCCACACTGCAATGCAGGGGAGACAGGACTAGACTAACCTGCACCTGAGCCTCGCTCTTCATCAGATAGCGCATCTTGCTGAGGATACATTGCTGGAGCTGCTCCCACGTTGTGCCTCTGTCTTCTCTCATCAGCAATGGTGGGCCAAACCTGAAAAACAGCAAGCAGTGGGTTGGGCATGCCAGTGAGAGGGGAATCTCACTAAATGGGCAGCCTTGCCAAGCCCTCCTAGAGATGTTTTCTGATATAGTGGTAGAGGCACGGATAAGCTAAGATCCACTGGAGGCAGATGGGGACGGGTGTCTTCTAACCAGTGAGGAGAAAGATTCCCGCAATAGTGTCATGGATCTACATGTAGAAACACTCTAGAGGATCCTCTGGCTCCCCTGAAGGTCAGTGGGGGGAAGCTGTCCAGGGTGTCTTGAAGGCAGTGACCCTAAGGGGGTACCTAGAGGAGGGAGCTTGCAAGGGTCCTGGCTGAAGTAGCTAGCTGTGACTGAAGGAATGCTAACTCCAGGAGATTTTCACAGGAGTTTTTATGAGGGCCAGGCAGTTGTCTGAATGTAGGGTAAGGATATATCAGGTTTGTGTTTTACCATATTCTGCTGTCAAAACATTTGATCACTTTTTTCTTTTTTATACCACTTGTTCTTCCTTGTGATAAACCCTTTTGTTTTTCTGTTACTTTACCAAAGTGCCTGTGGTAAAACATGATTTCTGGGCAAATTAAAAGCTGGGCATGCCCATTCAGCAGAGTGGGAGGCCAATAAGCTTATACAACCCAAGGGTATATCTCTGGGAGCACCCCGACATCCTAGGCTTTTGTCACAAAGAGTCAGAGCCCTAAAGCACCCAGCAGTGAGCTTGGGCTTACATTGCCTTGGGTGTGTAAGTGCTGGAACCAGTAAGGCAGGAAGCCTAGGACAAGGCTGGAGTTGGGAAGAAGTGGATGATGTGGCTAATGCTGCTGGAACGGCACTGCTGAGACCCACACCAGGCCCGCTTGCATAAAGTGGAAATGCTTCTAACTAAATTGCATGCCATAAAGCAGAGCACATTACAAGGCATTTCCCAGCCGATAATGTTTTACTAGGCGCTTCAAGCACAGATAGAATGTTATTTAACGGGAATTGTGATGTGAAATGTGAATTCATTACCAGCCAATGGCAGTCTGTCAGCCAAGTGCATGTGTCTGAACTTCTACCAGCCTTCAGCCAGGAGAAAACAGTGTTTGGACAGAATGCTGCTCCCCTCGCTCGGGGCATGGGCTTTCAAACTAAAGAAGTGTGGGCTGTGCCTTGCATCACTGTGGCCCAAATGGTCCAGAATAGCAAGAAGACCCTGCTAAGAGGTTCACAGCTACTTTGCCAAATCAGCAGCACAACCAGGAACAGCAACACCTTATGCTTCTCCTTTCCCAGTGATTAAGTAGTAGTAATGCCTGCTTTATCAGGTCCATGTGCTAACTTCCATACAGCCAGGTGTTGTGCCAAGCAACAAAAGGAAATCACTTGAAACACCCACTTCCCTATCAAATAGGAAATTGGTGGATGGATCCAAACACTTCTATTCAAGCGGGGGCCACAACATAAGAGCTTCATTGGCAGACCATGAAAGGCACAGTAACTTTAGGAGTCTATACTCATCAGAGGCACAAAACCCACTGAAAGTCGAGGGCATTTTTCATGCTTCTGGAGAGCCAGCAAGTCGTAGAAGAAGAGGTGCTGGCCAGCAGACAATCTGTAGGGATGGCTAGCCAAGGGAATCTTTTCTCTGCCCCTGTACCCAGATGGCATTTCTTGGGTGGTGTGAGGAATACATGTGTGAGGGACCATCACAGCTGCAACATCACTCCAACGTTACCAAAACAGTGATGCATATATGGCATTCTAAATCAAATGCCTCTGATGTGGCTGCATCACCCAGCTACTGAACATCTTACACTGGGTGCCCTTTACAATGGCAAACACCTTTGCTTGTGCCTTGAATAGAGTGCATTCTTAGCTTTTGACATGTCACTTGTAAAAGAGAATAAAATCAGAGCGAGCCCTGCAACT